GCAGGCCCTATGTAGGCAGAGGGAACTATATCTAGTAATGTGTGGAACTTCATTTCAATTGATCGAAAATTCCACATTTGTGCCATTGTTTAAAAGATACTTGGACGGATTTGTAAAAATTGAGTCAGAAAATATGAAATTACCCCTACATATCATGAACACTTGCTTGACTTTTAGTATAATTTAGATTTCGAATTCTATGAAATGTAGTAGCATATCGTATTATATGTTTGGGGTTTATACAATAATATGGACCTATATAATATATCTTTGTAGATTATATAGCAAGTTTTTTTCAAAAGTCTACCCAGAAAATATATTCACTAAAAATTGTAAAACAAACAGCATTTTGCTGTATATAAGGTGTTACTTTGTGGCCACTAATTTTAGCCACATACTTTAACAAAAGCGTTTCATGTTGGGTTTTGGGTTTGCAACACCTCGAAATATTCGTTGAAGAGCCAAAAAGTATACATATTCCTGATCACAATAAAATTATTTTGCGATGTTCTTCTATCTGTCTCCTGAAATCACGATAGAATCTACATTATTCAATCTATAGATTTGAAATTTGACACCAAGGTTTATACTATATGCATTGGTAATGATTGGTAATGAAAATAGGCTGTATTGGTCCACGTTTAGGTATAGCCCCCGTATAAAGGTTCCTCCCGATGTTAGGTATTTAGAAGGTTTCTACCACAATTTCCAAATTGTGTTAGAAGCTGAAACTTGACAATTACTGCTCTAGGTAGGAATGTTTTCACCTTGCAAAAAATGTTATTTTCCACTAATTGGTATAGCCCCCATTTAACGGTACCTCTGGATTTTCGACATTTTGAAGGTGTCCGCCACAATTTCCAACCTAATTAGATGATATGGTCTTCGCTTTTTTGGGTTATTATACCTTCCACCATACTATGGAGGGTATATTAACTTTGTCATTCCGTTTGTAACTCCTCGAAATACTCTTATCAGACCCAACAAAGTACACATATTCTTGATCAGCGTAAAATTCTAAGTCGATTTAGCAATGTCCGTTTGTCTGTCTGTTGTAATCGCGCTATCTTTCGAACGAATTGAGGTATAAGGCTAAAATTTTGCACACATGTTTATTTTGCCGGTAGGCCATGTAGGTCCACGTTTTCATATAGCCCCCATATAACGGTACCTCCCGATATTCGGTATTTTGATTATTTTAGCGACATTATTCACCGGAATTGTTTCAAATTTGGTATTTGAAGTTCGAAACGGATACTATAACCTGAGACAGAAAATTGTCTGCGCCGGTCCACGTCTTCGTATAGCCCCCATATAACGGAACGGTAAATTTGGCACTTGAAGTTCGTAATAGATACTACAGCCTATGACAGAAAATTCTCTGTGCCATATAGCCCTCTTAAACGTACCTCCCCATATTAGGTATTTTGATGATTTTAGCGACATTGTTCACCGGAATTGTTTCAAATTTGCTATTTGAAGTTCCAAATGGATACTGCAGCCTGAGACAGAAAATTGTCTGTACCGGGCCACGTCTTCGTATAGCCCCCATATAACGGTACTTCCCAATATTCGGTATATTGATGATTTTAGCGACATTAATCATCGGAATTGTTTCAAATTTTGTATTTGAAGTTCGTAATGGATTCTACAGCCTGTGGCAGAAAATTTTCTATGCAGGTCCAGGTCTTCGTATAGCTCCGATATAACGATACCTCCCTATATACGTTATTTTGATGATTTTAGCTTCATTATTCACCATTTATCTCATGTTTTGAATTTGAATATGGTAATGACTTATGACAAAGAAAGCCTATGTAGGTCCACGTCGCGTAGACCCTATGTAATGACTATATTCGGTACTTTTAGGATTTTAACAAAATTTTTAACGGATTTTATTTTTAGACAATTTCCAAATTCGTTCCAAATGTTGGGGGGTATTCAAAGCTCGGCCCGAACTTATTGCTTTTTAACTTGTTTTTTATTTCAATTAAAAAAGATTGATATTCTAAGTTAACATATTCTACTATTTTCATTACTTCATTCATTTTACTTTGATATATATAGTGACAGAGGGTATAAAAAGTTCTTAAATACATTAATATGCATTTTTAGCCGAGCTGCTTATAAAAAAATAATGTTTATATTGGAAATATGTGTAAAGTAAGCAATAGCAACTATTATGTTTCTTAAAAGAGGGGTAAGAAGCCGTTAAATTTTAATTTATTTTTAAATCGGACAGAAATTATACAAGGGTATTTTTTTTATGTTTTTTTTTTATTTTATTTTAATCGATTCCCATTAAATTTGACAGTGTTAGTGTACTAAATACATACTTTTGAGTGGGGATGAGTCGCAGGGAAAATCTGGCAATATAAAATATTCTAAAATCTCATATTACTCAGCCGCCGTAAAATATCACATATGTACAATTCGGTTATGTTGTGCGCTGACGCATACGGTGATGTGTGAGATAATAAGGTTGTGACCCACACTCATATATATCGATGCGCTCAGTAGTTAATATGTTTGAATGAATATGTAAAACAATCCGACATTTAGCAATTCACGGACATTATTTAAGATAGATGTCTGAAATTTTGCACTAAGGTATACATTATTCTTAAGATTATTGATATTGAGGAAGGTATATCAGTCCGTTTAGGTATAGGCGCCAAATAATTCCACTACCTGAGACTCATTCTGAATATTTCTGCCACTCCCGACCGAATAAGCTCTAATATTTAGATTTGAGATATCTTTTTCGTCAATAATTGTGTATCAATGGCTCACGGACGTCGTTTCAAACAAAATATTTTAAAATTTACCAGACTAATTTTGTGTATTGTTTCTCTGGTTGTGTCTAACCTCTGTATAACGGTATCTGCATATTTTAAGTAATGTGATGCTTTGAGAAGCATTTTCCAGTCAAATTAGAATTTTAGTATTACAGTTTTAGCTTCTTAGAGGATATTAGCCACCATTTGATACTGTTCTCTTATTGGGCAATAATTGGATTTTCTTCGCTTTTTGTAACCTACAACACTATGTGTTGGGGGTATTATAAGTTTGATTGGGCCAACAATTATGTAACACCTCGAAATATTGGTTTCCCACATAGGAAAGTATATATGGATCTTCCTATCTCGCCGAGCTGAGTCGATCTAGCTATGTATGTCCGTACGTCCGTCTGTCCATGTTAATTTGTAATGATGGAGGTGAATGGAGGTGGGGATAGGTTCAGAATAGAACTCTATTGTTTTTGGAGATGATCGCATAATGTCTAGGGGTTCAAATGGACCGAAAACTGCTCTACAGGTCGCAATTATAGACCAATCGAAGTAGAACTTTGCATGGTTCTAGAGCTAGGGGCTGGGCAGAAGCCTTCCAATTTTGATGGTCATCGGGTAATATTTAGTTGGTGAAATAGACCATAGCATTTGTGTTAAATAAAAGTAAAACTTTTCATTAAACTGCGAATATTTTTAATCGCGGCGGAATCACAAATAAACGAACAGGTCAATCCTGACCTTTACGTAGTTTCCTATAGTAAATATATCGGATATATATAGCGAAATATATACAATGCATATATACAAAAGAAGGGGATATTAGCTAGAATGCTTATATATCAAGAATGACTGAACCGATTTTTCAATTCAGAATGCCCTCTTCGCATAAAATATAAAATGTAAAAAATCGCATTAAAATATGTCGATATTGATGTAAATATAGATATTGTAGTATTATATGACATTTTTTATTTTTTCATATTTTTTATCGCATGCAATTTTTTCAATTTAACCTAATATTGAAGTGTATATTTTTTAATATTTTTTCACCTTACAACACAGTTTGGGGTTTTTATATACAGATTCCAATTATCGTCTGATCCTCACGAAAATTTTCACAAGGGTGGGGTTAGGCTCAGAAGGGCTAGGCCTATTGTTTTCAAAGATGTCCGCAATATATTTAGGGGTTGAAATGGACTAACAACTAAAAATCTTCCTGATTTTGTAACCGTTATAAAGGTCACAAATAGAAACCAGAGGACACGAAATCTCGCATGAATTTATATTTTAGGACAGCGGGTAGAATGGATCACTACTTTTGTGTAAAAAATACCAGCATTACTAACAGGCGATATCCGAGACACACAAAAGGCGAACTTATGTCTTTTTATGCTGATTTCGTTGACGAATATAGCCGAATATCGTAGACAAGAAAATCATATAGTTGAATCTAAAATTGAGAACCAAAAAGAGAAAAAAATCCTGATCACATAATTGAAGCCAATCAATACGCCGGTGGAGAGAGCACGACGGAGTGCGTAAATATTAGGCAAATGTCACTTATCAAAATGCTAAGATTAATATCTGGGCAGTGCTCCGTGACATAATTTCAAAAGCGAACTCTTCCAAAATGGAGTTGGACATAAGGGGGCTTCTAACATATTGTAGTGTTGTAGGGTATCACACGGTTGGCCCCGTGCGGTTATAGCCTTTGCTTACTTGTTTAACATGTATTCTAAAACAAAAAAATATTAAAAATGTGCAATTAAAAATTAAAAGCAAATTTTAAAACAAACTCATGCGGTATAAAAATTTGACAAAAAATAAAAAAGAGATGGCAAAATATAACAAAATTATTTAAATTTTTATTTGCGTATTTTTAATCGATTTTATTCTATTCTGTCAAGAGAATATTTTAAAATGGTGTGGATTGTCCAAATCATTGCGACAGAAGAGTAATAACTAACATAACTTTCTTTTATATATAGATCTACAAATTAGAGTTTGTACGTTACAGCATTCTAAAAAAATACACGAATACCATTGCATTAGAATTAAGAATACACTTTGCCTTGGAACGGACATTCTGTTCTTACCAAAAATCATACCACACTAAAAATGTTATCTCTTGATCCCTGACTAAATTAAATCGTCTTGAAAATTTTGACTTTTATTTATAGGTTTTCTAAGTGATAAAAACATTCTACATTTATTCCACATCGACATCTTGCACTTGTTTCCATACTTTATTACTTAAATATTAATTAAAATAAAATTTATAAACAAAAAATTACAAAAAAAAAACGTTCGTTAGTCTTAGATAGCACATTTTCGGAGATTTTCGCGCAGCTGCAACTCAAACACGATCATCACCTTTACTTCTCGCAAACACTCTCGTTCATATACACACTCGCATCTATAACCATAAACTCAAACGTTGTTGTAGTCTACTTTCGTCCCGTATAATCCAAACTATATGAGCCACTCCAAATGTCTAGACTTTTTACTGCAGGGTGAAAATGACTGGGTTGGCTGTTTGGATTGTAGGGATTATATTGGGGCTGTGGTGGCTGTGGCCGATAATATGTAGGTTGAGGTTGTGGGGGAGGATTATAGTATTGTGGAGTTGGTGGTCTGTATGGCGCTGGAGTTGGATGGTTATATGGAGCAGGTGCAGGTGGATTGTATGGAGCTGGAGCTGGATTATAAGCTGGCTGGGGTCTTTGTTGTTGGAAATTGTTCAGAATAAATTTACTAGCAGCTACTGGGCGATTGAAATTCTGTCCCTTGTAATATTCGGCAGGATCTTCACGATATTGGCCATCATCGATCTCATTGGGACCCAAGGGTGTTGATTTACTGGCTGTGAGTGTTGGTGGCGGTACATTTATGTCACTGCCTGAAAGATTATTTGTGGACATTAGGAACTTGTATAAGAGAGATTTGTGTACTTACCAGCCGGTTCAAATCCACGTTTACTTGCTCCATATTCAATTTCCCTCAGTTGCCCCTGGTCGTCTATGTATCCATATTTTCCGTAAACCTCTCCGGTCGGATATTTCGTTTCGATTTTAAAACTTTTATCAGCTGCTTCATAGCCATAGGTGTATGAACCATCCGAGTTGTGTTTGTTGATTTGTTTCAAAATTGGCACAGGTGTTGTGTATTGCTGGCCAAAAGCGCCACGAAATACAAAAGCCAAACAGGATGCAATAAACTGTAAAGAAAAATTGATAAAATGTTATCACTTGTTTTAAGTTTCAAAAGCTGTTTTCCTTCAGTTTCAAAAATTTAACATACATTCCATAGTTTTGTGGACTTAAAATGGGGGTCCTTAATGTATATATATTCGTTTCAGATTTGGATATAGCTCCTATCACGTATTTGATACACCAAACACGCTATGTATGTAAAATGTCAATAGTGTATGAAATGTGGTCTAAAAATATTTTTTGGCAAATTATATTGAAACCGGTTCAGATTTGAATATTACATTATTAGGAAACAAATAGCAAATAGAACAAGTAAAAAAGCAGTAAGTTCGGCCGGGCCGAATCTTGAATACCCTCCACCATTTGTAACGAATTAGAAAATTTTCAAAAAAAATTTTTTTTGTTAAAATACCTAATATCAGAAGGCGCCGATACATGGGGGGGATATACGATATTGTCGACCAATATAGAAGAAGTTATGTAAAGTGCTTACAAAGAACTCCTTGTGTAGAATTTCAAACAATTCCGTTGAAAAATGTTGCTAAATTAATCAAAATAAAAACCAGGTGATAAAGTACTCACAAGGAACTCCTTGTGTGGATTTTCAGACAATACCATTGGAAAATGTGGCTAAATATTGTGGATTTGGATATACACAATTCTCTTTCAGAGGTAAAGTACTCACAAAGAACTCCTTGTGTAGATTTCCGTTGAAATATGTGACTAAAATCATCAAAATACTGAATAATGGGGGGTACCGTTATATGGGAGCTATATGATATCGTGAACCTATATAAATAATTATCTTTTAATGGATTAAAGTACTCACAAGGAACTCTGTGTAGATTTTCAGACAATACCATTGGAAAACGTGGCTAAAATCATCAAAATACCGAATATCGGGAGGTACCGTTATATGGGTGCTATACGTTATCGTGGAGCAATATAGCCCATCTTCGAACTTGACCTGCCTGCAGACAAAAGAGAGATCTGTGCAACATTTTAGCTTCCTATCTTAATTCGTTTTAACTATAGCGTGATTACAACAGCTGATCAAGAATATATATACTTTGTTGGGTGTAAAATGATTATTTCGATGAGTTACTAACGGGATGACGAATTTAATATACCCTCCATACTATGTATGGTGGGGGGTATAAAAAAGCGGTGAAGTATGTAGGTTCAGTTGTATTGTTAGCCCTCTAATAGCAACGGAACGGCCGTTCAACTTTAACAGAATTCCGTTTCCTGTACGCTTAGCATTTGCTGTGACTATTAGTTAATTGCAAGACAAACACCCCGTGTATGAGGACCAAATAAAAGTTTACTTTCACTTCAATTTTGCACTGAAGTCTCTTCAGAAATTTATTAAATTTATTAATTTATTGCGTTTCAGCAGCCAAAACATCTGCATGGTAAATTTATGAGGTAGAAACTACTAAACATAGCAATAACATAATTTAACTTCTTCAACTGACCGACTAGATAATTTCAACAAAATTCTTAGAGGCTATTTAATTTGTGTATATATATTAGAAGGATTAACATATATTAGAAAGACAAACGGACACAACAAAATATTTAAAATCGATCGCTAAGAGACACTTTTTAAAATGCGTTTTGCCTTTTTTGTGATGTAATGATACAATTATCTCATATTGGGAAATTTAATAATTAATGCCTTTGTAAAACGGCCATTGGCCTAAAGAAAACCTACATTATTTTTGTAAGAATGACACCCCAGAGACTCCAAGTTTCCGTACGTTATTTTACTAATTGCTTCCATATCGGTATGTGTTCTTATAACCTAAATAAATATGTCTTAATAACAAAGACCATCGACAACAAGCCATTCACTTTAAATTGGAATGGTTAATGCGGTCGTGGTTCTATTAATTGTAGTATTCTTAATTAATTTTCCATATTCGAATGGGCCAATAACCAACAACAACTGGTCTCATATGGTTTGGTGATTGACACTCGGGTGGTGGTTGTAAGAGTATTCTAACAAAACCAGAAAACACCACCCAACCGTCCTTCATTGCCAGTTTGACAATTATTGTTTGCTCTCTGTACAAGAACAATGTTCGATAATGCAGGCTATAAAATGTATATGTTTATTAGATACATGTGTTTATTTACTTGTTGGGTTTGTTTTTGTATGAACATGCAAACCTGTCTATATCTGATAATTACGTTCATATTAACATGTTTTTTTTTGTGTTTTCTTACCAGACTCTCACCCTTGCGTCTGAAGTAACAATTAAAATATAGAATGAACCAGATTCCACGATTAAGTAATGTCGACAAATAGAATTTCGTACAGTTTTTTTGTTATTATATAATTGAGCTGAAAATATTAGTGTGGTTATTGGAATTCATTGCACAGCTATGAAACTGTAATGTGTTAAAGACAGATTTAAATATACCAAGAATAAGTTTCATATGGGCTTTTGGGCGCTGCTGAATAACTAATTCAGTCAACCAATTACGTAACCCCAAGATAGATGAAGAAATCCGCCTCAAAAAGGCAACCTACATAAATCACCTAACTTTTTCGAAAACGAGATCAAGGTAATATGTGGTATTACCACAAAACGACAAACAACATAACAAAAAGCAATAATAACATTAGATTGGATGCAAAAATGGAAATAATTGTAGATTACAAATATTTCCGTTATCTCAATCAAGCAATACACTAAAAGACAAAAGCACTTATTCACTTTTATAAGAATCTTACTTATTTACAATTTATTAATAAATTTTAGAATAGAAACAAAAAAAATTTCAATGATGTAAGACCGACAAGTTGTACCACTAGTTTGGCGAGAATGCTCTTGACTGGCCATATTTATTATTTTGGTGTTGATGTTATAGATGTTCGATAAGACACACCTTTAAATAATATGGGTAAATTCAGATAGTTTTTACAGATAATAAAATATATTGAAAGCCTTTAAAATGAGTAGAAGAACATTACACCTACCAGGATCCTTACTTAATGAGTATAAAGGCCATGTTAAAATTAAGAAGGTAAAGTCATTTCAAATAAGCATTCCCATCTTTGCATTTTTTGTAATTTACCTTGTCAAATTTCACTGCATAGAAAACAGGTTTCCATCTCAGATTTGTACAATGGATTAATAAATAAACATTTTGACAATGAGATGTTGTCAAATGAATAATTTTGAAAAAAAAAATTGTGATCTTATGATTGCATGACTTTACCTTCTTAATTCTACCATGATAAAGTCTTTAGTGTGGCTTGAATTTGAAATAAGGTGGATCATACATGCAGCTATACCTTAATCAAAAACTGTAAACGCTCCAAAGCCGTAATACGGTTTAAAATTTATTTTATGTAAATAAGAGTATATTTACACGCATACTGACTTAAGATGTCATATAGTCGGCACGTCCGACGTTTGTCCTTTCATTACTGGTTTAAGCTACCTTCCCATAGAACTGTTGACATTTTTATACCCTCCACAATAGTATGGAGGGTATATTAAGTTTGTCATTCCGTTTGTAACACCTTGAAATATACATTTGAGACCCCACATAAAATTCTATGTCGATTTGTCGATGTCCGTCTGTGTGTGGAAATCACTCTAGCTTTCGAACGAAATGAAGTAGGTTTCTAAAATTTTACTCAAATGTATATTTTGTATACAGGACTTTGCATTGAAAATGGGCCATGTAGGTCCACGTTTTAGTATAGCCCCCATATAACGGTACCACCCGATATTCGGCATTTTGATGATTTTAGCTACATTATTTACCGATTTTTTTAAGTTTGCATTTGAATATTCTAATGGCTTATGACAAAAGTTTCCTTTCAGGTCCACGTAGTAGTATAGACAACTACATTCGGTATATTTAAGATTTTTAGAGAATTGTTAACGGATTTTATTTTATTTATTTATTTATTTATTTTTTTTTTTTTTTGAAAATTGTTAAATTCATTCCAAATGGTGAAGGGTATTCAATGTTCGGCCTGGACGTACATACAGCTTTTTTACTTGTTAATATTGGGTTTAATAAAGCAAATACTGGAAAGGACATGTAAGTAAGGCTATAATCGGGCGGGCCGACTTTGTGATACCCTACAACAATATAACTTACTGTAAATTTTCTGTAGATGTGATACCCTTTGGAGGGAATGAATAATTCCCTCAGACATTATCATATATAATTTAACTAAAAAATTGTTCGAAAGTTCGTTCTCTAATTTTCAAATAGAACGATTTGTAAGCAATTTTTGAACTTAAAAAATTGTATATTTTATATATTTACCTTCCTATTCGAATAATTGATCAATAATGTGATTCTGTAACTAGTTGGCGAAGAAATAACTACAATTATCGATAATATATATTAATAGCTCACAACACTAGTTGTTAGGGGTATTATTAGTTAGAATTGGCCAAAGATTGTGTAACACCTCGAAATATTGGTCCTGCACATAGGAATGTATATATGGATCTTCCTATCTCGCCGAGTCGATCTGGCTAAGTACAGGGAAGAAAACACCAACATCAGCAGAAATGGTTCGAAAAGTAAAGAAGCGACTTGATCGAAACCTGCGTCGCAGTGGCCGAAAAATGGTTCGTGAGCTGAACATATCGCAATATTCCATTCGGCAAATATTGAAAAATGAGCTCGGGGCAAAGCCATTGGAATTCCAAAAAGTGCAATAACTTACACCGCAACAGAAAAAGTAGACTCCAACGAGATAAATAGCTGCTTCGCTTGGCCGAAAGAAGTGAACTGCCGAATTTGGTTTTCACCGATGGGAAAGCATTCGTTGTCCAGCAGTTTGTAAACAAACAAACTGATCGAGTTTACTTACCAAAGAGGTAAGCTGAAAATGTGTACCTTCTGTTGGCCACCAGAACTCAAGCGCCGGCCATGGTGTGGGCAGCCATAGCAGCCGATGGTCGCTCTCCTCTCGTATTAATCGACCGTGGCATCAGAATAAATGCCGAATATTATCGCGAAA